TATCACATTATCACATACTAAGAAAAATCAAATTTACTTGTAGCATAGAATTTACAAAAATTGAATAGACAATCAAGCTAATTAATTATTTATCAAATTCTAAAAATTGGAATTGTCAATTTATATAATATAATATAAATATGCAATCTAAAAAAATTATAAAATATATTTATAAACAGAGTAATCATCATCACACATTCACACGTCAGTGAGCTGACAAGTTCACAACTGCAATTTCTCCTTAAGCCCTACACAGCTCTCTACGAAGCTATCATGGCGTCGATGATTTCCGAGACGCTCCCAAAATTCACGGCTGAAACCCTTAAGCTTGCGGCGAAGCAATCCGAACGCTGCCGCGTGATTCCAGCCCGCCTCCGCCTTGCCATCGACAGGTATCTTAAAGGTAAAACTAAAATGAAATTCGTACAAAGAACTACGCTTTTTACGAACATGTCATTTTTTTATTCGTCATCGTCTTCTTCTTTTGTCGGGACAATTCTTCCGTTCGTGTGCTTTTGAAGAAAAATGAGAGCATATATATAGTGTAAATCTGGTTTTACGATATTATATTTATCGTCTCAGCTATTTGAACCAATTTCTCAAATTCGTATGCACTGGGTCGAGAAGAATGGATTATTTTGCTTGTTAAACACATATGTGACCCACGGTTATGTATTATAGAGCAACAAGTTGAGAACATGAGGAGGAAAGTGCTGAGCTTGTCCCAATCATTCAATGGAATCAAGGAAGTGAATTTGCTCTTGCCGAGCTCGACCTCAAAGGAGCTTGTGGAAGATCCATTCAAATCAATGGAGCGCTCACAGAGGTGGAAAGTCAAGACTGCTTATGGAGACATTGGTCTCAAGTACCAAGAAGAGCAGGCAATAGCATATGTTGCCGCTCGTATGCCTGCAGTCTACTCGGCTCTCTATCGTGTGCTCAATGAGGTATAGCAATGAGTAGGGATGTGAGCTTGGATTTGACTTAGTAAATTGAGTTGGTAGTTTTACCCGAACAGTGTTTTTAATGCTTATTTGGTTGGTCTAGTGAAGTTTCATATGATAGACCATGGTGCTTAAAATCAATTTCTTATAAAGAATGGGATAACAAAAAGGAAGCACTTATGAGGTATTGCCTAATGAAGAAAATCTCTGCTTACCTTTAGAATTGCATTTAGCCTTTCATATGGTTACGGAGATCCCCTTGAAGTTGTGATATGATAATGTCTTAAGTGAATATTCTCCTCTCGGGGATGCAAATTTAAAGAAAACCAAGTGTAAATGCAATAGTTGTTATTCTTAAGAGATGGACATACCTTTCTTTTTCTTTCCATTTTTGTGGGCTGGTGATTAGGTAAAACTTGAGGTAGTTTATGTACTTCACGTCAAGGAATTGCTAGTGATAGATGGACTTTCCAATCTCATTATTTGGACAGACCGGTGATGTTCTTTCTGTTCCAAGTAAGATGTTGAGTGAGCTTTTTCTTAGTGATTCAATTTGTGTACTATACTTTATGAAAACTTGTTGGAGAAAAACCCTTTTTACATTTTTTTACTGAAAAGGTTTTGCTATGGTGAAATTTGTTACTCTGACAAGTTTAGAGGACACCTTTTCTTCTTATTCAGTATAAGCATGACTTAATAAGTTAAAATTGAATGGTATTGTTCACGTAATTTCAATGTGGTGGTGGTGACTGGATTTTTCGGTTCATATGAATTTATTAGGTCAGAAGAAGAGTTCCAGATTTTACTCCATCGAAAGTGCTAGATTTTGGGGCAGGAACTGGTTCAGCATTATGGTGTGCTCCATAGTCCACACTCCACATCGACATCAATTATATTTCAATTTATATTATTAATGTTCGCTCATGGTAGGGCAATCATGGAGGTGTGGCCTGGGTATTTGGAGCACATTAATTTGGTCGAGCCATCACAATCAATGCAAAGAGCAGGACAAAGCCTAGTGAAAGGTATAAACATGGTGGGGTCTTTTGGGGCTGCATGTATGATCATTTTATATAAGCCATGGGATTTTCGTGTTTGCTTTGGTGTAGGTTTGGTTTGAGATTGAGTGATCTGCCAAAAATGTAAAAATTGCGTGGAATAACTCTGAGAGAAAAATGTGTGTGATGTGCATGGTAGTTTTACTTGCCCTTAATTATCTCACAGAATTGGAACTTTCTCGAGGTTTCACCAAATGATATTGCTCCAAAGCATGCAACTTATGTTGGATTATTAAATATATAGGCCTAAAGGTGAAAAAGGGAGTTCTGCCTGTCATATTTTTCAAGAATCAAACAGTCTCATACCTGCATAGTGTCATGGATCCTCATCTTTAAGAATGTATTGGTTCATTCATGTTTCTTTATGCCTACAAGTTGGCTAGAAGATGCTCTTTACATTGGTGAGGACTTCCTGTCCTGATCGATCCGGGGTCTCACATTATGACTAGCTTCTCCTATATTCATCCATGAACCATTTCACTAGGAGAGATCCCTCTGAAGCCATTTCATCATAAAAAAAGCTTGAGATATCAATTCAGTCACTTCCACTCCATCCTTTCCACCTACTACCTCGTGTATGTATTTCAGGCTTAAAGATATGAAGTCTTAAACTGATGTCAACTTTACATGTATATTTATATCGGTACGTACATTTAATGATATATTAATAAATTAATTTGCTTTTGTTCTTTAGTTGCTGATTGCCAGCATAACACTGATAATACTTATCCAGATTTGAGAGCTTACAATTTTCTTATAATGTACGCATATTTTCCCCTTGAACTTTTTTTTTTTCATTAAATGTTCTTGGGGAAATAATGTAGATATAGAAAAAATGCCAATAATTCAAAGCTACGACAGCATCCAATCATTGACTAAGCATATCAACAAGTCCGGCAGACGGCATGATCTGGTCATTGCTGTAAGTATGATTTGTATTATTTTTTTATGTATTGGCGTATTTTGGGTTTACTTGAGCATGCTAGTGCAATTGGGTTGGCTTCTAAGTTGACCGCATGTTTTCTCTTTTTTCTTCCTTATTTAGTTCTTTTTGTTTGGATTGTCACTAGCTATAAACGGTGCGATTGGCTAAATGTTAAAATGTTTTGTTCTATTTGTTTAAGTCATACGTTCTTGGAGAGATATCATCGTTGAAGGACAGAATCACTCTTGTGCGCCAGCTCTGGGATCTTACAGATGATATTTTGGTAAAACTTTGAACCCATTGGTGTACTTATGTGTGTGTAGATGAAGGTGTTGCTTAATTATTGGTTTTGTCAAGCTCTCTGAATATTCTTTATATGCATTCTTTAGACACAGTTTATATAGTCTTCCTGTTTAAACATGTCTTTTTCTCCGAAGATGACACATACAGCAGTAATTCTTAGCAACGAACAGATGTGAAATCCTAAAAGTTCTTTAAATTTGTATTTATTCATGCCCTCCTGATGATTAGGTTTTGGTTGAACCTGGAACACCTCAAGGATCAAATATAATATCTCAAATGCGATCACACATCTTATGGATGGAAAAGAGGGTAACATTTTGTATTTTTTTCTGGTTGGGACATTTTTTTTTTTCTTAAATCCTAAAGTGAATGTCGTATTGTACTTTCTAGAGAACCCGCAAATTGCAGAATGGAGCGAATAAGGCCTCTAAGGATTTGATGACCCTCAAAACTGGTTCATTTGTTGTTGCTCCTGTAAGTTATGGATTCACTCCTCTTCTTAACACTTCTTTTCAATTGCACTTCTATCAGCAATGCAAGGGAGTCAGAATATGTTATTATTATTATTTTTTTTTTTCAGTGCCCCCATGATGGACCTTGCCCATTACAGAATACAAACAAATACTGTCATTTTGTTCAACGTTTGGAGAGGACACCATCTCAGCGGTCGTACAAGGTTCTTGAACAGCCGTGTTTGGTCATTTCTTTGTGCACAAATAATTGCATCATCAACTGTTAGTTAGTCATTAAATACATTTGTGTAAGTTGTGGCTTTTGCATTCAGTCAGTAAACCATGGGGTTTGGTAGATTGCCGAAAAGTATAAATAAGCTGGTTGAGGAATATAAAAGCCAAGTTTCTTCCCTAATTGTATTGGTATGAGCAATTACAGGAAATGGGCAGCCTTGTATGAAGGAATGTTTGCTCTCCTAGCTCTTACCCCATGGGTATTTTACCAATCCCATGAACTACTATGAGTGACTCATACCGAGAAATCACACAACATATATATGCGTCCACTCTAAGTCAACTTTCTCCCCTACTATTATATTTCTTTGAACTATTGAGATTTGAGAGTTATAAAACATTTTTGAAGCTCTCAGGACTTTCTCAGAGTGAACGTGAGGGAATTGTGTATGAACTATGAAGGCAGAAAATAAGAAAATTGCACACTAGGGAAGGAGAGTATATGTGACACCTAGGGCTGCAAACAAAATCCGCACGCGAGCGCTCAAGTTTAAGCATGAGTTTAATCGAACTTGAGTCAAGTCCGAGCATCTCGAACTCGAACTCGAACTCGAGCCCGATCATCTCAAACTCGAACTCGAGCCCGATCATCTCGAACTCGAACTCGAACTCGAGCCTATGTGCTGTAAGCTTGAGTGCTCGGCAAGCCGCTCAAGGGTAATTTACCTAAATATCCTGAACTTGAGCTAAATTCGAGCCTAGCGCGAGCTAAACTTAATCCAAACAGAAGAAAATTTGTATTTTAATAGAAATTTATATTTCAATTTGAGCTGAACTCAAGTAAAACTCGAGTTGAAAATTTGAGCCGATGTCGAGCATTATATATTTTTTTTCAACTTGAGCCTTAATAAGCCGAGCTCGAGCAACATTGAAAATAATCAAGCGAGGCCAATGCTCGACTCGGCTTGGCTCGTTTGCAACCCCAGTGACACCTTTTGGAATTCAATTATGGTAGTTGTGGTTGAAAACTTGTAGACCTGACCTATGGATAAACTTATGGAATTGGAAACTTTTAGAATTTGTCTTATATGCCTTATAAGCCAGTATTTTAGGTTGCGTACATATTGAAAATGTTAAATTGGGGAGGTAAACGTTACCTGCTGTCTCATCCATTTCCATCTATGCTAACATGAGTCTTCAACATGATTTTTTTTTTTTTTTTTCTTTTAATGAAACTATGACTCGGTGTAGTTTATCATTAGAATGAGAATGAGTGAGTAATGCAACTTTTAAACAGTTCTTGAGCAATTGTTCTGAGTTCTCTTAATTAAAATCTCACAAAATTATGTAACGAACAGGTTCAGCCTATTTTGTGCTGATCTATTTTGATTCTCAATTCAGTTCCATTATTTGATTAATTCATTTCCTCTTGAGCTGTTTCCTGCTTACAAGTGTCACTTCAATTGTTAAATAAATGCAAGAATGTTTGAAGTATAGAAGACATTATGCTGTTTGGTGCATGCAGCAGTGACTTATTGTTTT